AGGTAGAAATTCTCCTGATACATATTACAACTAATAATATTTGAGCATACACAGGGAATTGAGGAGAGATACAAATAATCACTCTGGCAGTTAGAGAAATATTTAATCATTTACATGCTGCAATAAAACAAGTGATTTGACAATCCATTTTTACAGCTCTGCTGCTGCCTTTTATGTCTGTATTTGCTGGATTTAAGAAAGAAGTTAGAAAATCTCAAAGTAAGAATTTGCAAGTTTGAAAGCAGCTAACCCATTGTTCGATATCTTCAATAATGATGAATCACCTCCAGTAAAGTTGACTAAATCTATAGCTTAATTTTGAACATTTTTGAAAGAAAAGACAATAAGTTATATCACAACTCCAAAGTCAAATCAGAACCAGAAAACCATCTTACTGCTGCTCTTCAGCAAACTGCTTTTGCATATCTGGAGTGTACTGTGGCGGAGAAGGACGAATCCCCATGTAATGATGCTGTGGCATAAATGACATTCCGGCTGGTGGCATTGGTCCCATTGCCATTCCACTCTACAGGGAACAAAATATTCAAATAGTATTTCTGAACAAGAACGGAAAGAAAACAGGTCATTCAATCCAACCTGTTTGCCTTGTTGTTTCGATACATGTGCAGAATCTACTAATCTCGCTTGTATCCTCTATTTCTTATTCAATAAAACTGCCTAATATGTCTAAGTGATAGAAACATCACCATGGCAGCTCAATAATTCCTTGAGCAAGTTGTTAATAATTAAGCAAACATTGTACAACAAATGGGAAATCAATTGATATCTAAGTGTACACTTTAAATAAACGTTCAATTGCAACGTCTATTAACAAGACCTATATTCATTTTGATAATACATTTAAATTACGTGAGTCAATAAATAAGTACAAGTACTCTATCCTAGGACTAACTCTGAACAGTATTACACAGCAGGGGGTGGATCTGTTGCATCAACAAATCTATAGCCACAAAATGTCACTGTGACCTTCCCCAGTTTGAGTGGGTGGGTGGTCACAGTAAAGGAAAAACAAGCATTAGTAAAAGCGTTTAATAGATTTTCTTCTTCTACAACTTTGTACCTAGCATACGAATAAGAAAAGACATATTTTTGTATGGGTCAAATAGTCACTGAATTACCTGCATGTGTATTGCTCCTGGAGGCATCTGTGAACCAAAATTCATTCCCATCATGCCTTGTATGTTGGGCTGCATCACAGGTACCATAGGGAATCCCTGCGGTTGCTGCTGCTGTTGCATTGACATCATTCCTATGCAGACACACAGAGTGAAATAAAAATCATTTAAATCTCAAAAAAAATCAGCTTTATGAAGATAAAAACTAAAGAACAACACAGCAATTAGTGGAATGTCATCAGAAACACTCCAGTACTTAGTACAGCTGTCTAACTACATCGCATTATGCTAAATGCTAGGAAAAATGTTCTTTAAGGCTGTAATATACTGTGGCACACCACAAACTACATGGTCATTCATGACATACAAATTGAGATCTCACCTGTCACAAAATATTTTTACAATTTTACCCCACACAAAAACTTAGATCTCAGAATATTTAAAGTACCAACAAGTTTTTCCAAGCATGGACAGTATTTAATGGTTCGGTATGCAACCGACAAATATCCTCAATACAATTAATTTAACTATTTACAGATAATATAGTCAGTAGTAAAATATGCAAATACAGAGACTTAGTAATGAGTACAAGGCACTGTACCTAATAATTGCGGCCTGCGTGAACAAAATTAAACAACATTATCTGTTTTTTTCCTTCTACCTTTTTATTTCCACCCCTAAATGTGACAACGCATGTTAAGAATAAGCTTCACAGCATTTGACCATACAAGATTGAGCCTTGATAACGTGTGTTAACGTGCAAATTGACGTTGTATTGCTTTACTTTAATCACTGTAGCTCAGTCAGCCTGATTTCTAATTCAACATCCCTAATTCTAATTCACACTTCCCTGGAAGAATTACTAAAGAGCAAGCAAAAAACAGGAACACTTGAAAATGTTTTTTCCAATCATGGTGATGGTTATCCTAGGAGTCTGCCCCTCTTCCATAATATTCTCTGTGTTTTGGTAAGGGAGCACGCATCGCCTGTTGGTACACTTGCAACCAGTGAAAAATCATAGGGTATGCAGCGTCTTAGAGTCACTGATAACAATATTCTGATTTACCTGCAAAGATCCTCTTAGTTTTTATTGCGAACTACTTTATTTGCCGTGGTGAGGTTTGACCATATGGTTCTTGCTCACATTAATTCTACCACAGAAGAAAGATTTGCTGTTCTGATTCCCATTTGGTGACTAGGACAACCTAGCATCACTGTATGCCTTTTTTTCAAAATAGGCCCATCCCCAGTGATGATATTTTTCCATCACTGGCTTAAAACAGACATATTCCTGTTTGTGTCACTTAATCTGTAACGCTAAATAATTCCTCTCCAAAGCACATGCTTACATACTGTACTGTGAAACCTGTTATTTAGGGACAACAAAGGACTCGAAATGCCTTTTTCTTTGTAGGTGTTCTTCTTTTCAGAACGTACATTGTATTTATGATGGGATTATCTGGGATAAGTGAGTGGAGGGAAGGAGAGGAGGAGGCGGAAGAGACAGGAGACAGATACAGAGACAGACTTGCTCCCTCTTTGTGCTCCAAATAATGCATAGGTAGGGGAGGGGGAAGGCGTTAATGCTGATAGCAGCTTATCAATTTGATAGAACAAATCTCAAAATTGCTGGAGCTCAAAAATAGGCCATTCAGCCTGTCGTGTCTGCAGTGGCTACTCTCCCACTATATCTCTATAACTCTGCGCTTTCTTCCTTTCCGGATTACAGTCTAATTTGCTCCTGGATGCTTTGACTGAAGCTACTTCAGCCACATTATCAGACAGTGCATTTTAGACCTTAACCATTCACTGTGTGAAAAAGACATTTGCTTCTTTTGTCATTTACTTTAAACCTGCTCTCTTGTTCTCAATATCTACTCTGTCTAGACCCCTCATGATCTTGAATACTGCTATCAGATACACTCAGCCTTCTTCAAGAAAAACAGTCTCAATCTAACTTCATAACTGAAGTTCCTCATCCCTCATTGTTGTGAAGGTTTTCTGCACCCTTTCTAATGCTTTCGTGTCCTTCCTAATGTTCACCACCCAGAACTGGCCACAATACTCCAGCTGAGGTTGAACGAGTGTCATGTACAAATTCAACGTAAACCCCTTGTTTGTGTCCTCAATGCAATCAAAAATGAAGGCCTGGATATTGTATGCTTTATTAACCACTCTTTCAACATGTCCTGCAAACTTCAATGACATATGCACATGTGTTCCTTTGCTCATGCACCCTCTTTAGAGTTGCACTCTTTATCTTACATTGTCCCATTATGTACTTCTTACCAAAATGAAACACACTATATTTCATTGCAATTAATTTCATCTGCTACTTATCTGCCCATTCCACCACTTGGCTATATATCTTTGAAGTTCTACACCATCCGATTCTCAGTTCACAATGCCTCTAAATTTTGTATCATCTACAAACGTTGAAATCATGATCTGTACTCAGATCTAAATCATTATGAAGAATCAGGAAAAACAAAGGTTCCAACATTACCCCCACGCAACTCTATTACAAACCTTCTTCCAAGTCAAAACACATCCACTACCCACTACACATACTTTCCTGCCACTCAGCAAATTTCATATTCGTGTCGTTACTGTCCTTTTTACTCTGTGAGCTACAACTTTGTCCACATGCCTGTTGTGTGCCGTTGCATTAAATGACTTTTGGAACTCGATGTCAACACATCAACAATGTTACCTCTTCGAGAAACTCTTGCAAATTAGTGAAATATAACTTCCCTTTCCTTGTTTAGCCAATATTTTTCTAGGAGACTAATAATCTTGTCCCAGTTTATTGCTTCAAGAAGTTTGTTCATTACTGAAGTTAAATTGATCGGTCTGTAGTTGTTGGGTTTATGTTTACATGAATTTTTGAACAAGGGTGTAACAATTTTCCAGTCCTCTGACACCATCCCCAGGGCTAAGGGAGACTGAAAACTGTAGCCTTGCCTCTGTACTTTCCACACTCGTTCCCTTCAATATTGTTGGATGCACTTCATCTAGTCTTGGCCTTATCAACTTTTAAGTACAGACAGTGTATCCAATACCTTCTCCTTATCAGGTGATATTACCTGGTGCAGTTCCCAGTTTTTGTTCAATGGAGTGTTTTTTGCCCAGAATCCATAGAAGTAGAGAAATCATTTGTTCCCTGAAATAGATGTGTGCAAACATTTAACCCCAAGGTGGAATAGTTTCTCTGAAACTACAGATGCTGGGCAAAAAACTCACCCAATCTACAAAAACAGTTTCCTTCACCTGTTTACCTTTATGTCTCGCATTTTTAAGTTGTACAAAGATTGAGTACATTGAAGACTGTCCGCAGATTATAATATGCATGTACCTAGAATTTAATGGAGCGGCTTGCATCCGTCACAATGCAGGTTAGAATGTCAGTTAGCTTCTGTCCTTTTTTTTAAATGGGACCCATATTTTGAAAGTGTTTTTTGATGCCGTTTTCACAGTAGCATACAAAATACAAAATGGATGATTTTATTTATTATTTCTGGACACTCATCCTTGCTCCTCTCCTCTGGCCTACCAGTTCCCCAAATATTGGCATAATGAAACATAGATGCATCTGTTCTGCGTGAACCAATGGTCACTCTAACAGTTAAACAATCCATTGAAAATTTAACAAATAAAGAACAATTGAATAGTGGACAATAATTAGTTTGTCAATTATATTCCTCACTTTTCCAATTTAAAATGAGTCATTATCACATAAGGTGTTCACACGTATTTTGAGAAAACAACAACTTTGTATTTTCTACTAAACACACAAAAAGGAGGCATTTTACAAATAAGCACACCACAGAATTTAATTCTTCAGTGAGAATTTTAAAAACCTTTCTTGAGAGGAGTCAAGAGTGACCTCATCTGAGTTAGACTGCATCACAAATATGGCAAACCAATTTGACTAAATGATTGAATTTCTACTATTCAAGCTATCTTAGGACTCAGTCATTAAATCAGAATACCTGAGAAATGTACCATGTTTGATCCAGTTTGTGCTGAGCTATCAGATTGCCACTGATGCAATAATCAGTGTATTTCTGAGTTAACTGATTTCAGCTGGGACTATGGAAAGGAAACTAGAACTGGCTTGAAAATCCATAAGAAACCTATCCAGGACTCCCAAAACCAATCACTATCTAAGAAGTGCCACAGCAAAGTTCCCCAAGGATGGGATCAAAATGGCACAGATGCCTTAAATTACTGAAAAGCAGACTCTTGTCACCTCACTATTTGTGCACAGTCTGGAAGAGTGGCCACAGAAATGAGGCACTTCAGGGCCATTAGACACCACTTCTTCAAAGGGACAGCATCTCAGGGAAAGGAGAAGAATATGACAGAGAAAGAAGTCAGGGCAAAACAGAATTTAGATCTTGCGTTGAAAATAGGTAAAGAGAGATGTGCAACTAAGCAGAGCTTTGCTGATATTGTACGTTTTGAATAAATGTGAAGGTTTGCTCCTTTTCGCCCGAGTAAGAATTCACATGGATACCCTGTGCCCAAGATCATGGTGTTGACTACATTAGATTTCCATGGTATCAATAGTATCAAACACTTGAATGATAAAAATCTCCCCACGTGCCACTTAAATGAGGTTCACTCCTCAATATTACTGCAATAAAATATTAGCTCAGATGAAGAGAGCACAGAAAGGGAATTAGAAGTCCACAACATGCAAAGTGATTTTGTTGAAAGATGATGTTTTGATTTTTTTCTGCACAGAAGGGAAACAATTAAATTTTATGAATCCTATGGAATTTTAGCAGAAAGAAGGATGGAGGGTATGGACTAGAACCCACTTTAAAGTCTTGAAAGTCATTCCCTATCCTGAGCCAACTGATATCACTAGGTATTCTGGTTAGCTTCAGTATCTTTGGTTCAGTGGCACCAACTGCTTTTCCAAAAGTTCCAAGCAGAAAGTGCAAGCATACAGGCACTGTTCTTAGTGGTGATGATGCAGCCTATTTGCGGGGCAATCATTGCCTGACCTCAGAATGGAGCTACTCCCTACACAGAGTAAGAACCTTGGAGTAAGGAAGAAAGGATGGAAAACATCTTGTTTTAAAATGCAACATTACAAACTCACTGAATCATAACACAACTATACATTGTAGGGGCCAGGGCAAAGGATTTGGTTAATAATTAATTACTGAAGCAATTCCTTTTAGAAGTATTTTTTACTTCTCACTACAATACAGGGAAGAAAGTAAAACAGTTATTATTTCCAACAAAATAATCTGGTTGCCTCAGACTTAAGTTAAATACCCAAATGTATTTATTCGTCAATCCAGTTTCTTAAAAATCCCTTCACAGTGTTGAGGCAATACAGTATAAATCAGTCTCAATTATGGGCAACACAACACTGTTTGTGGCATTAGGTCGGTAAACCTTTGCAGGACCATTAGTAAGAATAAACATAAATATCTATGGGCAGTATAAATTTGAAAGAGTGTAAAATGCATTTCTTTCAGTCTTCTTGCTGTTTGGAAGTGCAAATGTTTTTCAGGAGTTGCAAATGGGCATGATTTCCATAAATCGTAATATAATTGAAGAACAAATAATGAATTGGAAGGCCTTCTGTCATGGTACTTTCAAATAAAAGTCACAATGACTATTCAGCTTAAACAGGAATATTAAACATTGATGTGAGGAAAATAGAATTATTTGTGATTTTGAACAGAATAAATTCATAGGAAGAACAGCATTAGCTAGTCAGATGTCAGAAACCTCAGTGGAAATTTTCTTTCCTTTTGTGACAAGGTTAAAATGTGTACACAGCCAATGTTTGTGGTGCATTGCATGCAGTTAGCCCTTGCCAACTTATTTAGTATAAATGTTCGAGTCAAAAGTAATTTTCCTGTTTGTTTTCTATCCATGCTCAAATGGAGTCTGTCGTTTCCATGTAACGAATCTTCAGCATGTTTTGTTTTATGAATTCAATTCATTGACAATTTTATACATGCTGGAGGCATTCTGATAGGAGGTTGGCAAAAGGATTGAAAACACAAATTAATAGTTAATTGTTTAACTAATAGCCTATAAACAGTGGTGTGAATCAGGAATCTGAAAATAGATTGAGGTGGATATCAGAATTTGTTTATGACACAAAAATAGTGAGATGACTGTGATTGAACTTCAGAAGGGCAACCGTTGGTTGAGAACACAGAGAAATGAAAGATGATACACTTACAGAAGAAGAATGAAGAGTGAAAATAGACTGAAAACAATTAAACTTTACAAGAATTAGAAAAATAAGATGGCTTAGCCTTACATATTTTTCTATAAATAATTTTAATAACTGTTCAGACATGTTATGAAATGGGATTCAGCTGCAACAATAACTACACAGAATTCTAATTTTAATAAATAGCAAAAAACAAGCACTCAAAACTTGCATCCATACGACACCAAAGTAAAAAATATCCCAAGGCACTTCACAAGTACATGTTAAAATAAAAATTGACAAAGTTAAAGTTAAAGGAGGAAATATTCCATGGGAGCCAAAACTTTAGTCAACTAAGTACTTTTAAGGAAGGTCTTAAACTGAAATTCTACAAGTTATTGGTTAGGCTGTAATTATAATATAGTGTCTCGAATCAATCCCTAACTTTAAGAGTTATATCAAGGCTATGAGAAAAACAGAAACAAACGAATAGACACCAAGGAGCAGTGGTATTTAAAATTATATAGAGCTTTATAGTACGTGTTTAGAAAACTGTTTTCAATGTTTAATAAAGTTTAAATGGAAAGCAAAACTTTTAACACCAAGCACAAGAAAAGATTAGAAAAATGATTTTACAACAGTGATGCCCCACAAGCATCGATGAAAGTAAAAGCAAAATAGCTTTTGAAAGTGATCCAAACAAATGATTGAAAAATAGAAATATAACAAGATATGAGAAAAATGCTGGAAAGGGATTTTAAAAAGTTCCATGATCCTGCACAGACATGAAGAAATAAGTGATACCCTTCTGCAGCAAACTAAAAAAAACCTGTCCAATACAGAGGAATATGAATGAATATCACCATTTCAACCTCCTCATCACATCATTTACCATAGCTTCAATCTGCCCTGATCTGATTTGTTAGAAGATGAATTCCCAGGACCTGATCAGGTGTACCCTAGAACTCTATGGGAATTTAGGGAAGTGATTGCTGGGCCCCTTGCTGAATTTTTGTATCATTGATAGCCACAGGTGAGGTGCTGGAAGACTGGAGGTTGGCTAACATGGTGCCACTATGTATGTAAGGTGGTAAGGAAAAGCCAGGGAAATATAGACCAGTGAGCCTGACATCAGAGGTGGGCAAGTTGTTGGATGGATTCCTGAGGGACAGGATTTACACGTATTTGGAAAGGCAAGGACTGATTAGGGATAATCAACATGGCTTTGTCTAAGGGAAATAGTGTCTCACTAACTTTATTGAGTTTCTTGAAGAAGTAATAAAGAGTATCGATGAGGACAGAGCAGTGGATGTGATCTATATGGACTTCAGTAGGGCTTTCGACAAGGTTCCTCATGATAGACTGGTTAGCAAGGTTAGATCATGTCGAATACGGGGAGAACTAGCCATTTGGATACAGAACTGGCTCGAAGGTAGAAGACAGAGGGTGGTGGTGGAGGGTTGCTTTTCAGACTGGAGGCTTGTGACCAGCGGTGTGCCACAAGGATCGATGCTGGGTCCATTGCTTTTTGTCATTTATATAAATGATTTGGACGTGAACATAGGAGGTATGGTTAGTAAATTTGCAGATGACACCAAAATTGGAGGTGCAGTGGACAGCGAAGAAGGTTACCTCAGAGTACAATGGGACCTTGATCAGATGGGCCATTGGGCCAAGGAGCGGCAGATGGAGCTTAATTTAAATGAACGCGAGTGCTGCATTTTGGAAAGGCAAATTAGGGTACAACGCATATACTTAATAGTAAGGTCCTGGGGAGTATTGCTGAACAAAGAGACCTTGGAGTGAAGGTTCATAGTTCCTTGAAAGTGGAACTGCAGGTAGACAGGGTAGTGAAGACGACGTTTGGTGCGCTTGCCTTTATTGGTTAGCACATTGAGTATAGAAGTTGGGAGCTCATGTTGCAGCTGTACAGGACATTGGTCAGGCAATTCTGGTCTCCCTGACATAGGAAGGATTTGAGAAACTTGAAAGGGTTCAGAAAAGATTTACAAGGATGTTGCCAGGGTTGGAGGGTTTGAGCTATAGGGAGAGGCTGAATAGGCTGGGGCTATTTTCCCTGGAGCGTCGGAGGCCAATGAATGACCTTATAGAAGTTTATAAAATCATGAGGGGCATGGAAAAGATGAATAGCCAAGGTCATTTCCCCAGAATGGGGGAGTCTAAAACTAGAGGGCATAAATTTAAGAGAGGGAAAAGATTTTAAAGGGACCTCAGGGGCAACTTTTTCACACAGAGGGTGGTACATGTATGGAATGAGCTGTAAGAGAAAGTGGAGGAGGCTGGTACAATTGCAACATTTAAAAGGCATCTGGATGGGTATATGAATAGGAAGGGTTTAGAGGGATATAGGCCAAATCGGACTGGGTTAGTTTAGAACATCTGGTCAGCATGGACAAGATGCACAGAAGGGTCCATTTCCATGCTGTACAGCTCTATGACTAAGTCATCTTCAAAAAGACGGTTTCAATGTAAAAAGAATCCTTATAATTATGGGACTTCTCTTTCAGTCTATTAAGATTCTATATGCTTAATCTTCCACAAAGTATAAATAACTGTGATTTCAAGATCTTGTTGGAAAGAGTTCGAAGAACTATGGACACTGCCAACTCAGTTAGTGTGAAGTTCAGATTTAATCAGTCTGCTGTTTTCCATCCTGGTTACCTCCATTCTCTGGCATATTATTTACCTATGGATAAATTGGAACAAGCAGTTTTAGCTAATTATACACTGTGATCTAGTGCTGCAAATATCACTCAGGTCCTGAGGTAAATATGTATTTAATAGAAAGTGATTTGCTACAATTCAAAATTAATTATTAGACTCTGTTATGCTAACCCAACAGCAATACTGAATACAACTGTAGATTGAGGCGGCTCGATGGCTCAGTGGTTAGCTTTGCTGCCTCACAGTGCCAGGAACCCGGGTTTGATTCCACCCTCGGGCTACTGTCTGTGTGGAGTTTGTACATTCTCCCCCTGTCTGCATGGGTTTCCTCCCACAGTCCAAAGGGCCTGTTTCCACAGTGTAGGGATTCTGTGATATCAGTTTAGAGAGGATTTAATCTGTGTATGAAACTTGTGGCCAGCTGTGAGCATGGGAAAAGTCTCAAAGTGCATCAGGCTTTGTGCTTGCCTACACCAAATTTCATAATGTCCATAAGTTTCAGGCTGGTGGGAATGACATTTTTTGGGTAGGGTTGGGGGCGGGGGAGGAGGTGGTGGTTTATAAGAGAAATAAAGGAAGGCAAATAAGAATGACATCAAAAGGAGGTCTGATCTTTTATCTTTTTAAAGGTGGGAGGGGAAGGATTGAGATGGCTTCATCCACTCATTACCCAAAGTACAACCAACAACAGCTGTACACTAAACCTTCTGGGTGAATGACAGCAGAGGTATAAAGAAGCACAGGTGTTGTATTCTTTAGTACATTTTTGTGCATTTAACTTTTCAAACATTTCATATATTTTGTATGCTAAATTCGATACAGCTCATTTGGAATTTACAATGTTGTGTTCAAAGAAACTCATGCAAAATTAAGTCAAGGCAATAAATGTTTAAAGATTAATGTTATTACATCGCATGTAATGAGTCACAAATGGTGCAAGAACACAAATGAATCAAGATATGCATGGTAGAATCGCAATATTGCCATACATACCTTGGGGAGGAACTAATCCCCCTGATACTGGGAACATGAAGCTGTAACCAAAGTAGAAGAAAATAAAATTAGCAAAACAGATTTTCACTGACAAGAGCTTAAACTGATGTCCATGAAACCTATATTCCAATGAGAGAGAAAAATCTTTATACCAGGATTGAAATTCTCTGTCACAAATAAATGATCATTGAAATACTGTCCAGGTGTTTGAAAGGGAAGAATTGTAAAATATTTGGGCAGGAGGACGGAATCACATTCAGAGGAAAGACAGAAGTGACAGAATAGACATCATGGCCAGAATGGGCTGTTACTATATTGCATCATGCAATGATTCTTCACAAAAGGTATCAACTCTGTGGAAAAGACTGTGAAGGCTGCTCGTTTGGGAACTGGATGGTTGTATTCCTTCTTTTGAAAATTGAGTCTGGAGCCTCGCCCACTTACCTTTCAGTGCAAACAGAAACTTCTGATGTCACCGCTTCACATATTATGTTAACATCAACAAACAAATGACAGAAAAGTAGAAATCATTTTTTAAGAAGTTACTTACTATAATCGATGTTCCGGAGACCAGTATTTTTAATATAATGGAAAACTCAATCTTTTTGCTCCTTTTTAGGCAGCAGTAAGGATTACGCCCACGATAAAATGCCACACCTTCCATGTATGGTGCTCCATGGTATTCTTTTAAAAATTAATGTCATGCCTAACCATCTTGAGTGGCTGTGCAGCACTGGAATCTGTAATAAAGCTTTACTGTGAATCCGCTGAAGCTTTGTTTTATGCCCCAGTGTTTTAGGCCAAAGGAAACTTTCTAGGATATCACCACATTACAAGTTCCTGATCTCAACCAGATCATTAGAAAAGTTGCAGCAGTACTAACCAACAAATGTCTGACAAAGGATCTGCACCTCTTCAGCTACTAAGTGTACCACATATCAATTATTCATAACACAACACTGGCAGCGAACCATGAGCTGGCCATCTCTTGCTCAGTATGGCATTGCATAGCAAGTTATTATTTGTGAGGTTACGGAAGACAGAAAGAGACCTCAAGGATACATTTATTCATGTCCATATTCATATCAAATCTGGAAGCAAATACTCCCACCATCCCAAGAGTTTGCCATATCTTCAGAAGGATTTAATTACTTCAGGACATAAGTATTGCATGTCTCATAAATAACCACATCTTGTGCTACCCAAACACACATTTCTGACAAGAGACTCTTGGCACTACTGTATTAGGAGAGTATATTTGGAACAAGAAAGCTAGCTGATAAGATGTTCACTCGCATCAGTTAAGGACAGTTTGAAGGATCAAACCTGCAGAGTGATAGCATTGGCTCTGGGAAGAAGATATCAGTGGCAAACACAGTGAAGCAGGTTTTTCCACTTAAGACTGTAAGGTATTCTGCAGTAGAGTACGTTGTGACTCATACTTGAGAATCCAACAGGACTTCCTAGATGTACATTTTTAAGGACAATCAACCATTGAATTTAATACCAAAAGTGACATGTAAACTGCAAAAATGCACCAAGGTTACTCATGCAATGTGACTCATAACAGCTTTGAAAGAGAGTAATTGCATTATTGCTGGCTCGGTGGGAGCATCTTCAATTCTAAATCACAAAGCCTTGGGTTCAAGCCCTACTTCAGCTCATCATTTTGGCTTACACATTACTGCGGTACTGACAAGAGTGTTGCACTGCTACAGGTGTTATCTTTTGGATAAGATATGAAATGCTCCTTCTGTCTTCTCAGATAAATATGCAAAAAATCCCATGCCACTATTGAAGGAGATATGATAGTTGTCTCTATATCCACGCCATAACTATCCATGGGCTAACATCATGATTAACATATTTTGTAAATTACCTTGCTGCTGTGAGTGAGAGACCTTACTGTTTGCTGCCTGCAGTGTTTTCTCCAATACCCTTTGAAAGTAATTCATTGGCTGTGAACCATTTTGGATTGGTGAAAGACTTTTGCTTCTAAAACTAATGTCTTATTATTCCCATGTTTCTTACTTTTAAGTCACACAAAGATTCGTGAACATCTGCCACATCAGCCCATCCCAATCTCACTAAAGACTGTATTTGATACAGTATTAACCAAATGCATTGAAAACATGGTGAAAATGTCAGCCGCAGATTTCTACTTGAACACTTCATTCTGTCCATTCAATATTTTCCTCTAAATCCCACTTCTGTTGTTTCTAGATTAATGTCTTCATAATATGCACCGAAAATGGTCAATTTCAGTTAGATACTCGTCTCCAAACAACACCATTTGGACCTGTCTAGATCCATCACTATTTGTAAGGCTTACCCAAACAGAAGGATGGGAAACAGGTTAATGCAAGCACTAACCTCACTGTCCCATGCAGTAAGAAGTGCAGTGAACTCCCACATTCAACCATGAACCAGAAAGCAGTACTAACCAGAAAAGAAAGAGACCAGCATCTGAAGGACTGGAGGAAGAAATTACAAGACTAATAACATGGACAGGCCATGTCAACCTTTCTTAATGATGGAACTGCCTTTTCAAGGGACAAATTTTGAGACAAAAAGCTGGCAAAATGCCTAGGGATATGACTGAGGTCAACACCACAGGCAGAAATGCTCAGAGTAACAGTGGCAATTCCTTTCTTTGGTTCACCAGAAATACTCAGGACAGCTGGTATTTTATCAACTACCAAATCCAGAAGTCACAAAATAATTCAACTATCACCCTAGCCTCATAGAAGAGATGAAATATTACTTCCATAAGTGAATACAAAAATAAAATTACAACTGTAGGGCATCTCTTGGCTTAAAGTGTGCTTCTCAAGCATTTAAAAATTGCATATGAAGGTTCCACAAATTGCCAAGTAAAGCTTAAATTTGAAAAAATTACTACAAAAGATCCTCACACAAAATATTGCTGATGCTGGAATTCTGAAAAGACTTAACAGGTTAGGTAGTATCTGTGGGGAATTAACATTTCATTTACGAAAGGTCACCTCGACCTGAAATGTTAACTTTGTTTCTCTCCACAGATGCTGCCTGATGATCTGAGTTTATTCAGCAATTTTTCATTTTATTTTATAGACTAAAATACACTATCTGCCTTGAGTGTATATTTTCTTAGCAAGAGAAACTCAACTGAGCAGTTTTGTTGAGAAATTTCAATATTCACCCCATTATTACATCCGTAAAAGGAGCTCCTATAGTCATTTTGTCACGTTGCCACCCTGCACAATGTTAGCCAATGTTTTCTTTGAATATTTGTTTTGGGACAGGCAATATTGGTGAGACACTAATTGGTTGTGGTGGAATTTAAATTCATGGCTTCATGTTGCTCATTAAGCACCATAACACTAAGCTTTGGAGCCCAAGTTTATTTTGCTGCCCATTAAATCCCAGCACCAAAGATCAAAATGCATTGCATAAACCAGGCCAAAAAGATAGGAATAGAAATTGGCTCAATTCTCAATGACAGTAAAGGAATTTCACAACACATCAAAACTGAAATAGTACTCAAGTTTCAATTTGAGGTTGTATGTATAAAATATAATAACACAAATAGCAATTGCTTTTGGTTATATTTTATTTAATACATTAGCACTAATCTGCATTAAACCTGAACAAATGATTAAACATCATAACTATAGTTGGTTAAACTAGATGATAGAGATGGGATTGGATATGGGTTAAAGAGAGATTATATGGGACAGAGAATGCAGTGGGCTGGAACTTAAGAATGCACTCTACTCCTACTAATAGAATTAGGATAATAATCACAAATGCTTTGCAGGCCTCTGCTAATTCTTATTTACATCATAATTAAGTAGTAATCCTTACTCACAAACACTGCACTTCTCTACACAGACCAAGTCATATATACATAATTTACCGTTGGAAACCTGCTCTGAATGCAGCTGTTTTACAATGTAACAATTATCCCTCCATATATCTTTACAAGTATTGAAGATGAATAATAACAAAACCTAGACTGCTCTGAAGATCTGTGCAGCTTTCCTTGTTCGGCTATAATTTTAAAGGAAGGTCGATATGAGATGTTTTTAACATGGTTCACAGCATTTCAACAATATTGTCAGTTCTGCACTACATCCACGCTTCGCTGTCTGAAAAGGTCAATACCATAAAGAAAGCTTCCAGTATTGTTCAAAATAGGGGAAATTGGGTAAATTAGTAGCAGCGATGGTGCTCTCAGAATTATTCAAGTAACCAGTACCAGTACTTTTATTTAGGAAATCTCACCAGTGGGAAAGGGGACTGTATTTCAAATAAAAATCAAATGTCCAATAAAAAAAATACTGCTCTGATGGTTTCTAACAAACTGATAAGCTAAAGGCTAAATGTTACTATTTTAACACAAAATGTCATATATACAATTTTATTTAATATGCCAGTGCTCAATATGCCTTTGGGAACTATATAAAAAGGACAATCGCAATATTATCAACTGCAAATCAGTATGTTTAAATTTAAAGATCATGATGCTTTGAGGGACATACTGAAAGACTTAGAATTATAGAGTCACAGAGATTTACAGGATGGAAACAGACCCGTCAGTCCAACCTGTCCACACCAACCAGATGTCCTAAACTGATCTAGCCCCATTTCCAGCATTTAGCCCATATCCCTCTAAAGCCTTCCTATTCATGTACCTTTCAAGATGACTTTTAAATGTTGTAATTGTACCCTTCGCTGGCAGCTCTTTCCATCATGCAGTACTTTCTGTGTGAAAAAGATGCCTCTCAGGTCCCTTTCAAGTCTTTCCCCTCTCACCTTAGACCTATGCCCTCAAGTTTTGGACTTGACCCACCCTAGGAAAAAGATCTTGACTATTCAGCCTATCCATGCCCTTCATGATTTTATAAACCTCTATAAGGTCACCCCTCATCCTCCGACGATCCAGGGCAAAAAGCCCCAGTCTATTAAGCCTCTTCTTACAGTTCAAACCTTCCAATCCCGGCAACATCCTTATAGATCTTTTCTGAACTTTTGCAAGTTTAACAACATCTTTCCTATAGCAGGGAGACCAGAATTCAACACAGTATTCTAAAAGTGGCCTCACCAATTTACAGCCACAACATGATGTCCCAACTCCTGTACTTAATGAACTGACCAATGAAGGCAAGTGTGCCAAATGTCTTCTTCACCATCCTATCACCCTGTGACTCCACTTTCAAGGAACAATGCACCTGCACTCTTTGTTTGGCAATACTCCCCAGGGCCCTACGATTAACTATATTAGTCTTGCGTTGGTTTGTTTTACCAAAATGCAACACCTCACATCTAACTAAATTAAATTCCATCTGCCACATCTCAGCCCATTGGTCCATCTGATCAAAGTCCCATTGTACTCAGGTAACCTTCTTCACTGTCCGCCACTATCAATTTTGGTGCCATCTGCAAACTTCCTAACCATACGTCCTACATTCACATCCAAATCACTTATATACATGACGAAAACCAGTGGACAAAGTACCAATCCTTGTAGCACACTGCTGGTCACAGACCTCTAGTCCAAAAAGCAATCCTCTACCACCATCCTCCGTCTCCTACCTTCAAGCCAGTTCTGTATCCAATTGGCTAACTCCCCCTGGATTCTATGTGATCTTTTCTTGCTAACCAGTCTACCATGTAGAACCTTGTTGAACACCTTGCTGAAGTCCATATAGACGACACCTACCACTCTCCCTTCAATCTGCTTTGTTACTTCTTCAAAAAACTCAATCAAAGTTAGTGAGACACAACTTCCCACACACAAAGCCATGTTGATTAGTCCTAAACAGTCTTTGCCTTTCCAAATGCATGTAAATTCTATCCCTCAGAATTCCCTCCAACAATTTACCCACCACTGACATCAAGCTCACTGGTCTATAGTTCCCTGGCTTTTCTTTACCACGTTTCTTAAATAATGACACCACATTAGCCACCCTCCAGTCTTCTGGCACCTCACCCATGGCCGTCAATGATACAAATATCTCAGCAAGGGACCCAGCAATCTCTTCCCTTGCTTCCCATGGAGTTCTGGGGCACACGTGATCAGGTCCCAGGGATTTATTTATCTTTATGCTGTTTCAGATCTCCTCTTCTGTAATATGGACACTTTTCATGACATCACTATTTATTTCTAAGTTCCCTAGTTTCCATGTCCTTCTCCACAGTAAATACTGAAATGAAATATTCATTTAACATTTCACCCATATCCTGCAGTTCCACACAGACAGCCTTGCTGATCTTTAAGGATCACCGTTCTCTTCCTAGTTACTTTTTCTCCTTAATGCATATGTAAAATCTTTGGATTTTCCTTAACCTTGCATGCCAACGCTATCTCATGTCCCGCTTTTGTCCTCTCGATTTCCCGCTTAAATAGACTTCTACTGCCTTTATTCTCCTGTAGGTATTCACTTGATCCCAGGTAAGTATACCTGACATATGCCTCCTTCTTTTTCTTGAACAGAGCCTGAATTTCTCCAGTCATCCAGCATTACCTACACCTACCAGCCTTGCCTTTCTCACTAACAGGAGCATACTGTCTCTGAACTCTCGTTGTCTCATTTTTGAAGGCGTCCCATTTTCTAACCATACCTTTACCTATAAACAACTTCCCTCAGTCAACTTTTGAAAGGTCCTGCTTAATACTGTCAAAATTGGCCTTACTCCAATTTAGAACTTTAACTTTTAGATCAGGTCTATCCTTTTTCACAACTATCTTAAAACGAATAAAATTATGATCAATGGCCCCAAGGTGCTCTGTCACTGACACCTCAGTCACTTGCCCTGCCTTATTTCCCAAGAGATGGTCGAGTTTTGCTCCTTCTGTAATAGGTACATCTACATATTGAGTAATACAGTTTTCTTGTATACATTTAAATTCCTCTCCATCCAAGCCCTTAACAACAGCCCCAGTCTATGTTTGGAAAGTTAAAATCCCCTACCATTACAACCCTATTATTCTTACAGATATCTGAGATCCCCTTACATGTTTGCTTCTCAGTTTCCCACTGATTATTTGGGAGCCTATAGTACGATCCCAAATAGGTGATCATCTCTTTCTTATTTCTCAGTTCCACTCATATAAGGTCACTGGACATTCTCCCAGGAATATCCTCCCCAGGTCAAATGTAATGTTTTTTAAGCAACAACACTAACCCCCTTCCCTCTTGCCCCCCTTTCTATCCTTCATATAGCATCTATACCCTGGAACATTAAGCTACCAGTCCTGCATCTTAAATAATAACCACATTTAACAGGAATTCTTAAAACATTAAATATATTGAGGAAGTGAGAAAACTTTTTAGCAACTCTCAATCAAGTATTTGTCAACTTTCGTTATGCTTTAAAGTTAAGATAGCAAAATTCATCTACTTGATTGACAAGTATAACAAATTACAGATGGAATCATAACATGTCTGGAGAGGGGAAGAGTAAGGACAAAAGCAAGTATTCAATCATCACAAGGTTATTAGGTCAACTTTGGAATCTACTGCAGTTACTCAGCAGTCTTTTTTCTGGAGATAGTGGGAGTGGGGTAATTATTCAAAGCCATAATTACTGTGCTAAATAGTTTGGCACTATTGCATACACCTAAAAAGGTCAGCAACATTAAACAGCCTTCAAAGTATCACAACTTGCAAATTCTTGTAGTGTTAATTTTTAATACCAACCGATGCAACAAAACAGAACACATGGCAGAGACCAAAAAGCCCACAAAGTCAACTTTTTCCATTCCAGGTGTGCCTAAAATTAAAAATAAGATACACTTAAATCTGCTGAGCACAAGAAGTACAGTTATTTCTTCCCTACACACATGCTCACTGGGAAGTGAAATAGTATCAAAGCTCGTTTATTCCCTCGCCTTTTTACTGGCATACTGCAAATTGCAAAGATCATTGCAGCTACATTAAGGGAGTTTATGAATACTTTTATTGCCCAACAACACACGAGATACAGAAAGAGGGAATTACAATTCAACGTTTTTTTGAAGATCGAATTCGATCAAGAAATGTCCACTTAATTTAGCTGCGTCGGATGAAAGGTGATAGGGTGAGATGAAAGATACATGAAGCACGATCTCCTTCAGGAACATCAATTATTCAGTGTGCAGCTTCCCGTTCAATTCAGACAGCAGAACTTCACAGCCTCAAAATAAGGGGAAAGGGGTATTTGCGTGTACTTCCATTCGGCAACAATCCACCCAAGGTTTACTTTTAGAAAAAAAACCATCAACACAACAATATTAAAGTGGAAGGGGAGGGGTAAGAGAAAGAAGAAAGTTTAAAATGTAAAATAAAATCGTGCGGAGATCGGCTTTTACCCATTTATAAAGGAAACAATCGACTCAGTGGAAATGTAATTTAAAAGATCAGATAATCAGAGGTAAGAGTTGTCCGGTGGTATCTAGGGCATCAGAGGGTAAATATCAAAGTGTGCGTGTGCGTGTGAGAGGGAGGGAAACAGGGTCTTGCTCACTGACCCAGACTAACCCCGTTTCCCAGCATCATCTTGAAGGCAGAGAGGCGGCCACCGGCTCCGTGATGAATCGAGCCGGCCGCCCAGCCAATCATAAATCATCACCTGATTTAGTTTACCATTTATAATAATTATACCAATAAAGAAAAGAGGAAAGTCGATGTTTCTTCACTTACCCACTACCATTGCCGCCAGTGCCATTGCTGCTGCTACCACCGCCACCACCACCGCCTGGACGCAGCGCCATCTTGATTCGGCTCCTTGTCAACCAGCAACTACTTCCGGGTCTCCTCCCCCCTCCCCCACAAAAGGTCAACGCCCAGTCACCTGTCACCAGCTGTGTCAACCTGACTGAGTCAGGCTCATTGCAACATGCCCCAAGCACTTCCAATATCTCTGTATACAGCTCACTATCATCTCTTATTCTTTCACTGACCCCGAAACATTAATCCTGTTTCCTCCTCCACAGATCGGCTGAGTGGCTCCAACAGTTTCTGTTTCAGATCCGCAGTTCATTGTTTTATTTTATATTATTTCTTATTCATTTGGGTGGGAGGGGGAACAGCTGCCTCCCTGCCTCCTTTCCTCCTTCCTGCTTCACTATTTTCTCTCAATCAGGCTGAATGATGCATGGTTAAGTTTTCAAACACCCTAGCCAAAGACACTGCACCTATTCTTACTAAAGTGAAATATAATCTTTGCAATTGTGCGTTCTTGGTGCTGTGACATGGTCTAGGCTGGACGGGAAAATTGAATATATGAAAATGCAAGAAAATTAAAATTGAGAAAGACTTTGATAGAGTGGTATCTTTGTTAAGAATCTGATCCAGGGTGCAGAGGATAGACTTTGATGGCACAACAGAGGTTACGGCATTGATGAACTTGCAAGATGTGGTTGTTGACAGATTGTTTGAAAAGCATTAGACTAACGCTGAGCCATGCGGTATCCATTGGCCAGACTTCTCCGTGCACTTCTCCCTTGTCCAAGGTGATTTTTTTTCATTCATTCGTAGGAAGTGGGCATTGCTGGCTAGGCCAGCATTTATTGCCCAATCCTAATTGCAATGGAACTTAATAGCTAGCTAGATGTTTTTAAAAAGTAGTTAGGAGTCAACCATATATTTGTGTTAGTTTGGAGTGCATGTAGGCCAGACCAGGTAATGATGGCAGATTTCTTTTTCTATTTTACATTAGTGAAGCAGCTAGGTTTGTATAACAATCAATAGTGCTTACATGTCACAATCAGGCTAGCTTTTAATTACGTCAGAGATAGTAGGAACTGCAGATGCTGGAGAATCTGAGATAACAAGGTGTAGAGCTGGATGAACACAGCAGGCCAAGCAGCATCATAGGAGCAGGAAGGCTGATGTTTCGGGCCTAGACCCTTCATCAGAAATGGGGGAGGGGAAGGGGGTTCTCCATCTTCTATCCGCCTCCCCCTCTCTTCCTAGTCCATCTTCTATCCCCCCTCCCTATTTATTTCAGAACTCCCTTCCCCTCACCCATTTCTGATGAAGGGTCTAGGCCCAAAACGTCAGCCTTCCTGCTCCTCTGATGCTGCTACACCTGCTGTGTTCATCCAGCCGTACACCTTGTTATCTTAGCTTTTAATTACAATCTTTTTACTGAATTTAAATTTCACTATCTGCTACGTTTAGATTCAAATACATAAGATCGTAAGATATAGAAGCAGAATGAGGTCAATTGGCCCATTGAGTCTGCTCCACCATTCAGCCATGGCTGATATGTTTCTCAATACCACAGATACAATGACTTGGCCTCCACAGCCTTCTGTGGTAATGAGTTCCACAGAATTGAAAGGGTCATTCCTTCACCCTGAGGCTGTGCCTCAGGTCCTGGCCTCTCCTAATAGTGCAAACATCATCTCCACATCTACTCTATCCAGGCCTGTATTCTGTAAGTTTCAATTAGAACCCTCCAATCCTTCTAAACTCCACTAAGTACGGACCAGATTCCTGAACTGCTCCTCATTTGACAAGCCCTTCATTCCTGGGATCATTCTTGCACACCTCCTCTGGAACCCCTCCAAGACCACCACATTTTCCTAAGTTATGGGGCCCAAAACTGCTCACAATATTCCGAATGTGGTCTGGCCAGAGCCTTATACAGCCGCAGCATTTCAGCATCCCCGCTCTTACATTCTAGCCTTGACTGGGTCACCAGAGCATTAGAATCTGGATTACTGAATTACTAGTCCAGTGACATCACCAAAACACCACTACCTCCTCGCTCCAAATTGTCTCTTGTGAAGGAATGTTTTAACAATGGTCCTGACCCAGGTTGGAAGAGTTCTGGATGGTTTAAGGAGCAGTCCACTGTGTGAATTTGGCAGCTGTGAGGTCTAGTAGCAGTGTACCTGTCTTCATGGTCTTTTGAAACTTTTTTTGTTGCATCTGGTGAGTGTCAGAAGCTGATCACATGTGCTGTGCCACTTTTGGAAACCAGCTTGGTTGACATTCAGGATGGTCGATCCTTCTGGAGACATGCATCGGAGGACAAGATACTCAATGATTTAAAACATGCAAAAATGTAGTGAAACCAGTTAATAGCTGAGACCTTTTCTATATTTTGGAATGACTTTTTCATTGCTGCACCTTTTTGAATAAGTTTGATCCGATGATTCTTGTGGAGAGCTAAGTAAATCAAGCATTAGCACTGTGGACATGAAGTTTTAAAAATGTTGGTGCAAAGTTGTCATATCTCACTGTTTTACTTATGCAAGTTCTGTGATCTCGAAGGGATCAGGACAGCCATGCTCTGCATGTTATTGGCATTGCTTTTTTTCAGTTCTTTGCAGACTACTGTCTTGTTCAGTTTCCAACAGAGTCCTCGCTACATAGAGTAGATATCTAGCAACATGGTTCAGGGTGACTGATAGTCAACTTGGTGTGGGTTACTTTTGGGCTGCTCAGAGGTACCCAATCAGGTTCCAGCACTTGGGACTGCACTGAGTGACATTGAACCCTCCTATCATTTCCTCCTTTCTGGCGTGATGTGCAGTATCAAGGGACCCTGTCTTGGTCTGTTTATCAGGGTCACCAAGTGATTCACATTGCTTTAGGGGCACTGAACTCTCTGTATCAAGACATGGGATAAAGGTAGGCTGATACAAGCAGCTTTGTGAAAGGCACCACAAAACTGCTTATATAATTCTCCCATAGGCATGTTATGCATAGGTATAAATAATATATGATATGATAAATAATAGCAATGATATCATAGAATCTCCACAGTACAGGAAGAGACCATTCAGTCCATTGAGTCTGCAACTACCCTCTGAAGAGCATCCCACTGAGACCCAGTCCCTCACCCTATCCCTGTAACTCCATATTTACTATGGCTGCTGCATCTAGCCTACACATCTCTGGAAACTACAGAGCAATTTAGCATGGCCAGACAACCTAACCTGCACATCTTTGGACTGTGGGAGGAAACCAAGGCAGAACCCATGCAGACATAGGGAGAATGTGCAAACTCCAAAAGGACAGTCACCCCAGGCTGGAATGAAACACAGGTCCTTGGCGCTGTGAGGCAGAAGTGCTAACTGCTGAGTCACTGTACTGCCCAAGGTTCCATTGTATATTCACCAATCTGCTTTTCAGAAGCACTATCAAATCTTCCATGCAATGGTAGAGCAGTAGAAGATAGCGACCAATGTGTATGAGTGGTCCCCTGTGTTGACTATGTTGGGTGTTGTCCCGGACTGGACACTCTGCTGGTGAGGAAATCCATTAAATGATCAGAGCCACCACCCAGTCAGGTGAGTATTTACAACTCCGTCTGGCTGAATAGAACATTCCCTGTTGTTTCAGGCCATGTATCAGGATAAGGTTGTTTCTGGAGGCGTACTGTGGGAGCTGCTTACCATTACTGTCTGGTTCTGAGTAATCCTAAACACTGCAATGGCTGTTGAAGTCTCCCACATAGCTGGCAGTATTAGCAGAACTTGCTGTTCCCAGCTTGGAGATGTTTGCACTTGGAGACAAACTTGGACATTTTTGCAGGATAAAAACTGCCAACCTGAATTGTATACCAGAACTTGGGTGATGTCAGGACAGGCTTCATTGGCAATGTTGAATAGCTTTTAGAAGGATGGGGGAGGGAATCTTGAAACTTACAGAATACTGAGAGGCCTGATAGAGTGAAAGTGGAGAAGTTGTTTCCACTAGTAGGACAGTCTTAGAGTGAAGGGACTACCCTTTATAATTGAGATGAGCAGGAATTTATTCAGTCAGAGGGTGGTTATTCTGTGGAACGCATGGCCACAGATGGCTGTGGAGGCCAAGTCATTGAGTGTGTTTAAGAGGGAATAGATTGGTTCTTGATTGATAAGGGAGGGGATCAAGAGTTCCAGGGAGAAGACAGGAGAATGGGTTTGAGAAAGCTATCAGGCACAACCAAATGGTGGAACAGATTCTATTGACCCAATAACCGAATTGTGCTTCTATGTCTTATGGTCTTCTGGTACAACTGTATTTAGCATAAGGGGAGTAGTAATATAGGTCAAAATCTTTGCCATAATAAAAAATTCCTTCCCCAGTTCCAGGCAAATGATGTTAACGGGGGGTTTGGGTGGAATGATATCTAATGAGACTTATTGGCTGACAGACCCAAAACATTAAGTTGTAAGATTCAGTGAACTTGTCCTGTGAGCATAAAACCAGAGTTGTTCACCAGAGAATAATCTTTCCAGAGAAACTGGGATTCCATAAGTTGGCTGTTTCAAAGCCTTTTAATTTTATCTTGGAATTAAGACTGCTGATGGGATCAGTTGCTTCCATGGAGTGGCTGGGTACAGACGGTGAGGATGCAATAATATACGTAGGTGCTTTTATGGTTTTATCAATTCCCCATTGATAGAGTAGCTTTCACAAATACAATACATCTCAAAGTGTTTAAGCCAGTTAAATACTTTTGAAATATAGTCACTGTTGTTGGAAATGCAAAGGCCATTTCACACAACAGCAATGTGATTATAACCAAATAATCTGGGAGAGTGATATTGATTAAGGGACAAACATGGCCAGAATGGAAAATACTGTTGAAACATCTCCTGTCTTTCTTCTTAGATTGGATGTTTTTATACCCACAAAATATTTCATTTCTGTGGGAAAAATGAAGGTGACCAATCACAATTGATGAATAAAATGCATTAAGAAAGATTTAATTTGATTTGATTTATTATTGTCACATGTACCGAGATATAGTGAAAAGTATTATTTTCTGTGCTAACCAGACAAATCATACCTTCTGTAAAGTATAACAATGCAGAATACAATGTGACAGCTACAGAGAAGGTGCAGAGAAAGATCAA